TAAAATAAGGCTAACAACAGCACTGTCCATGTAGCATTTCTGTGAGAACTGAAATGCTCAGGACAACAGGCACTGGCCATTGTTGCCACTGCTTGTGTAGACTAGTGCAGGGGTCCCCTGCCCATCACCCTCCTGCTCCATCGTCCATCCCCCATGTGGTAAGCAGTGGGATCCTCAAAACATAGGCTGGTATGCCGTTCCATAGAACAGACTGCTGACATGCACAGTACCCTGGGCCAACCGCAAAAGGCATCATGCTTTTCACTGAAAGTCCTGTGCTGCGTGATTCCATTTTTACAACAAGCTGGAAAAGGCAAAACAGGAACAGAAAACAGGTTGTGGACGGGGTGGGGGAGGGTTAAAGGGGCACGGGGGCATTGGGGGTGATAAAATTGCTTTATAACTTGGTTGTGCTGGTAGCTACATGAGGGTATACGTTTGTCAAAACTATGCTACGAAAGTGTAATTTTTACTGTATGTAAATACTACCTTAATTTTTTTAAATAAGGGCTGGCTGAGTGGCACATTGGTTAAGATTTGGCTTGGGATGCCAGCTCTGAGCAGCAGGCCCCTGATTTGGATCCCACATGAGGGCCAGTGACTCTGTGCCCTCTACAGCTAAGATGGTGAACAACAGCTCAACCTGGAGCTGGGCTGCCTCGAGTCACCAGCGATGGTGTGGGCTGCAGCCCCTGTTGCAGTGGGCTGCTGTGAGCTATTGTGAGCGACCGTCCAATGGCTGGCGAGCGACTGTCTCATCCGGGAAGAGCGCAATGATAATACCAACATGGGCCAGTGAAGTGAAGTCCTCCACAACTAGACTGAAGAACAAAAGGACAGCAACTTGTCTGTTCCCCTTCCCCAATTCCCCAACGCTATTCCCCTCCCCCAATTCCCCAATAAAATCTTAAAAAAAATTTTTTTTAATTAAAAAAAAACATAAACAAACGAAAACTTCAGCCATGATAAATATACTGGGCTTCATGTTATTGTTCTATTTACATATACGTTTGAAATTTTCCAATATTAAAAAAAATAAAACAAAAAACAAACAAACAAACAAACAAAAACAACCCCTAAGATTCTTTCTGTCCCTGATCTGCTCAAAATTGTCCATGGTTTCTTCCTGGCTCAGAGTAAAAGCTGAAGCCTTCACTGTGGCCAGCAAGGGCCCTCCATCTGCCCTTAGTTCCACTGATCTCATCCTCTATCCCCTGGCTCTCTCTGCTCCAGCCACACTGGCCTCACTGTGTTCTTTAAACATACCTCAGGGCCTTTGCACTGGCAGTTCCCTCTACCTGGACCACTAACAGCTCCTGCCTCACTCCCTCACCTCCTTCAAGTCTTTCATGAAAAGAGCCCAAGTCAGTTAAGGTCAGTCTTGGCCACCTGTCTCAAACCTCCAAAAGCACATGCCACACCCCTCCCAGCTGAATCTCTCTGGGGCACTTCAGATAAATCATGTATCTATTTCTTTCTTTGCTCATTGTCTCTTCATCTCCTAGAATGTGTCACTTGAAGGACAAGGAGCTTGGTCTGTTTTGTTCACTGTTGTGTCCCCCTAGAATAGTGACTGGCACACAGTAAGTGCTCAATAAATATTTGCTAAATGAATTAATGATTGAATAAATGATATCCTATATACATGTGACTTAGTCTCTATGTGGCACTGCCAGGCCCCAGCCACGGGGGCTTTTAGCACCCAGGGTTCATCTATCCCAAGGCTGATGGGAGCCAGCTTTGCTTTCTAACTTCAGGGGTCACACATTCATTCAGCAACCGCCCCCCCACCCCCACGCCAAGCTCTCCTCTGTGACTAGCATGCTTTGGGGTCAAAAGATAGAGCAAATCAACTCAGTAAACATTAACTGCTTGCTTTATTCTTTTATTGATGCACTGCCTTGTTCCACAAAGGACTGCTGCAAGATTCAAAGACCCCAACAAGCTAATAGACATTTCAAAGTGGGAGAGAAAGAAGGAAGTCAAAAACAGGGAGGATCCTGGGTTCTTATGCTGGGCCTGGCTTGCACTGGGACATACCAGGGAGTTAGAGAGGAGGAATCCCCTCTGGACCCAGGCTGGCTGGGGAGCATCAATGAAGCCTTCCTAAAGGAAGTGACATTTGGGCAATAGCACATGCAAAGGCCCAGAGTAGAAAACAGCATGGCCTGTTCATAGAATTTCAAGAAACTTATTCTGGCCTCCCCAACCCACTCAAGTTCTCTGGAGAGAAAACTGTCACCCGAAACAAACACAAGAGCATATCTTGCTTGCTCAGGATTGCAGCCAGCCTTGACTCAGCTGAGATCGAAGCCCCTTCTGACCCCAGCATCCCTTTCTGTCTCCTTATATATAATAACTCACTCTTCAGCCTTGTTTTGTTCCAAACTCCATGACACAATAAATACTTGTTTAAAAAAAAAAGATTTGCTAAGATAGTCTCAATAAATATATCTAACAAAGGACTTATAACCAAACTATGAAAAAAAAAAGAATAGGCAAAATACTTAAACAGGTACTTCACAAAAGTAGATTTCCTAATGGCCAAGGAGCATATGAAAAAGACTCCACACCATCAGTCACTAGGCAAATGCAAATTAAAGCCAGTGAGAGACCACTTCACACTCATCAGAATGGCTAAAGTTGAAAAGACTGAAAAGACTGACAACACCAAACCCTCAAAATTGTCAGAAGGAGTGTAAAATGGTTTCAGCGCTTTGGAAAAAAGTCTGACAATTTCTTATGAAACTCAAGATGAACTTCCTATGGAACCCAACAATCCATTCCTGGTAGCCACCCGAGAGCAGTGCTACAATATGGACACCAAAAAATGTGGTCAAGGGCCAGCCGAGTGGCACGTTGGTTAAGAGCTGGCTTGGAATGCCAGAGGGACCGGGTTCGGATCCCACATATGAGGGTCAGTGACACTGCCCTCCACAGCTAAGATGCTGAACAACAGCTCAACCTGGAGCTGGGCTGCTGTGAGTCACCGGCGACGGCGTAGGCTGCAGTCCCTGTGGCAGTGGGTTGCCATGGGCTACCGTGTGCAGCCAGCAGCCAGCGTGAGCGGCCCTTAAGCTGCCGTGAGCGGTTGTCCAGAAGCCGGCAACTGATCTGCCTCGCCGGGAAGAGCACAATGATGGTGCCAACTTGGGCCAGTGAAGCAACATCCTGCACAACTAGACTGAAGAACAAAAGGAGGATAGCAACTTGTCTGTTCCCCTTCCCCCAATTCCCCAGCACTGTTCCCATCCCCCCAATTCCCCCATTAAAAAAAAAATCTTAAAAAAAAAATAAAAAGACTTGTTACTCGTCTTATAAAAAAAAAATGTAATCAAGAATGTACATGGCAGGGAGGCGTCCCAGTTTCAAGTACCCCAACTCGTAAGAGAGCTGTACTTTTGCTTCAATAAAAATCTTTGCTCCGAGGGCCAGCCGAGTGGCTCAGTTGGTTAAGAGCTCACTCAAGAGTGTGAGCTCTGAGCAACAGGGTCACCGGTTTGATTCACGGCCTGAGCTGAGGTGCCGCTGAGCTGCCAACAGGTGGCAGGATGGCTCAGCTAAAAAAAAAATGGTAAATTTAAGGGGCCCGCCGAGTGCCTCAGTTGGTTAAGAGCTCGCTCAAGAGTTTGCGCTCCGAGCAACAGCGGTTCGATGCCCGGCCCGAGCTGAGCTGCCACTGAGCTGCCAAAAGGTGGCAGGAAGGCTTAGCTAAAAAAAAACAAAACAAAAAACAAACAAACAAAAAAACAAAAAACTTTGCTCCTCTAAAAAAAAGAAAGAAAGAAAAGAATGTACATGGCAGATCTAAATCCAAAAACAACCTAAATGCCCATCAATAGGTGGGTGGATAAATAAACTGTGGAAAATGTACACAATGGAGTAATATTCAGCGATGAAAAAGATACACAAACATGGATGAATCTCACAGATAAAATGAACAAAAGAAACTGGACACTAAAAAGTACATACTATGTGATTCTGTTTATATGAAGTTCTGGGAAAGACAAATTAGTCAATGATACTAGAAGTCAAGGTAGTATTTACCTCAAGGGGTGAGGCACTGATTGAAAGGGGCAAGGGAAACACTTGTGTTCTGTATCTTGATTTGGGTGATGGTCACATGGGAGTGAACATCAAGCTTACACCTTAATAAACTAGTAAAAAGTAATCTATAGTCATGTAATTCAGTGTTGCAGCTATGGGTAGGAGGGAAGGGCAGCTTCAGATATGAGCAAGTTCAGGGGCAGTGGAAGCCTGGTCAATTCCCTTTCAAAAAAGTATGGGTCCCGGAGAGTACCATATGTCCTCAAGCAAGTCCCTGCCCCTCTTGGGACTCAGTTTACCCATCTGAGGAATGGATCCAGGGATCGCCAAGGTGTCTTCCTGTACTTCTGCATCTTTTGAGGAGCAGTGGCATTTGGTCCCTATCCCAAACAAGGCTTCTCAGGCTAATCCCTTCTCAGCAGCCACAGCCGCGCATGGGTGGGATCTGCAGCATCCAGGCATCCTCCCAGAGCCTCAGCTGTGTGACCTCACAAAGGTCTTTCACTGCTCTGGGTGTCTATTTCTTCATCTGTAAAGTAGAGTCATGCATATTTATTTCTCAGGCTTGTGATGAGAATTTTCAATGAGCGTAGTGAATCCTCACCGAGTGCTTCCTGTCTCACTAAGGGCTTTGCCATGCACAGGCCGGGCACACAGCAAGTGCTTAATAAATGGTGGTTGCGAGAGGATGATCAGAATTTCCCTACAGATCGTTATATCTTCTTGAGGAGGGGTCCGTGTGGAGGCCCCAAAGCTGTCAGTCAAACGCCAGACAGAAAAGTAGCCCGGGGACAAATATCCTAGCGTTGTTTTGCTTGGAACTGCGATTGGAACGCTGCCGGAGAGGCGTGCGGCCCCTTTAAGAGTGGGATGGAATGTATCAAAACAAAAAGGCCCCGCGCTCACTGGCTGTGTGCCGCACGTGACCTCACAGCTGATTTCCTGCCCCCCCCCCCTTTTTTTCCTGCGGCCGCCGCCGAGTGTCAGTTTCAGCGCCGCCGCCTGCGGTCTCTCGGGTGCGGGCTCCCGGCCGTGCCGCGCTCCCGGCCGCCCCGCGCCCCCGCCGTCGTCCTCGCGCCTCCGCGCCTCCGCGCCTCCGCCGTAGCAGGCCCGCGCACCCGGCCCCGCCGAGCCGGCGCTGGCCCGGGTCCGAGCGGCCTCTGCTCCGCACGCAGATGGCGCACGCGGCGGCTGCCGTGCCGCTGGGCGCGCTGGAGCAGGGCAGCCCCATCCGCGTGGAGCACGACCGTCGGCGCCGCCAGTTCACCGTCCGGCTGAACGGTAACGCGGTACCCGGCCCGCCCCCGCCTTTTGTTTTCGAGCAAGCCGGGCCTGCTGAGGCTGCCCCCTAGCTGGGGCGCGCGCTCCTGTCCCACAGCCCTGGAGGGGCGTCGCGAATGAGCGCCGCAGGGTGGCCTCTGGTGGCCGCCGTTGGGCCCAGCGCTCCCGGCGCGGGCCAGGGGCTGCACTCGCGGGCTAGGTGGGGGCGCGGCCGACTCGCGGTCCAGGGAGGGGCGGACCCACGCGGAATACTCCGGGCGGCCTCCAGGAAGGGAGGAGGCAGGAGCAGGGCAGCTCTGGTCTCCCGCTGCCAGCCCCCTCCCTCAGCCACTGGGAACCCGCACCTGCTCAGGCCCGGCTGTTTTCCGATGTTGTGTTGGACAACCGCTGGGGCTGCTGTTTGAGATCCTAGAGAGTGGGTCAGCCATGACCTACCCCATCTGGTGTTAAATGGCTTCTTGCTGCCCCCTGGGAACCATAGCCTTTCTGCACCAAGGGTTTTGGAAGAATCCTCTGGGCAGACTTGGAGATGACCGAAAGAGGGGCTTCTGCCCGCGAGGGTGGGCGATGTGTGGATGGGTATGGTGTCCTCATCAGACTCCAGTGGCTCTGAGACTTCTGTCAAATTGCCTCATCTCTGGTGTCCCAGTTTCTCCATCCTTACTAGGGGAATAACATCCGTGCATACCTCTTGGCTGATTGTAAGAATGACATGCTGTAATAAGAGTAAAGGCTTAGAACAGCGTCTGTGGCACATAGTGCTAATAAGCACGTACTGATCATTATTTTTAAAACCAGAAAGCAAAGTCAAATCTTCCTTTCCTGTAAGGAAAGATTCCTCTTTCCTTACTAGCCTACACAGCTCCTCCTAAGAGGTCTAGGGTATCAGAAATAGAATTATAAAATCAAGGACCATGAATCCCCTTCAACCCACCATTTCTGCATTAATAGCTTTTTCTTCCTTTCCAGCTGGATCCCCTGTGGCAGTATCTGAGCTGGAAGCTTAGAGACCACTGGGCCCATTTCTGAGAAGGGAAGGCCTGCCTGAGGTCAGGCAGTAAGTTGGGGCAGAGCTGGGATAGGGTCCTGCCTGATCTGACTCCTGGAACTGGGCTTCTCCAATCTGCACTTGAACGCAGTTAGGAGGGGCCAGGGACTGGGGCATGGACATTTCTCCAACCCCTTTTTAGGCTGTGCTGGGGACTGAGCCAGGCCCTAGCACATCTCTGTTATATCATCCTTGTCATGCGGGCATCACCACCTCCCATTACAAATGAGTAAACTGAGGCTCAGACCACAGGGCAGGAGTAACTTGCCCAGCACATTAAGTGCCAGAGCCGGAACTCAAACACTGTTATTTCTACATGGAAGCAAGCCCTTCTGTCGCTGTGGTGCCAGCTGTGGCCTAGCTGGCCATGACACTCAGGGTCCTGGCCACTTGTGGGGAGGGGCATCGTGACTTTTCAAATCCTCTTTTCTGAGACTCCAGAGAGGCCTCTGTTTCCCTTCGTGGCTCAGGTAGTCTTATCTGCTCACAGATAAGAAGGGGATGTTCGGGGTTTCCTTTCTTTCTCTTTCACATGAATCCAGCCAAAGGACACCCCTCTAAGCTGGCTGTGATCAGGGCTGGACATGCCCAGCCATGTTTTTTAACTTGCCAGTTCTGGAGCCTACTACCCAGATGGCTAATGATTGTTATAAAGTGGACCGGGGATCCCCCAGTCGACCCCAGGGAGCAGTGCAAGGCTGCCAGTCCTTCTCCAGCCTGCACTTGGGGACTGTGAAGCCTAGGCTGGCCCAGCCTGGGTGTGCATGTGAGGGGGCAAGAGAAGGATCATCTGTGTCTGGGCCCCACCCTGCCTCACCTGAGGAGGGGAACAGCCTATCATAGTGTCTCCTGAACTGCAAGGCCAACCCTGGAGTCTGGTTCATCATGTCCATTGAGAGATGTGAACACCGAGGCTGAGAGTCAAAGCCACCCTAGGGCTCCTGGTGCCCAGGCCATCCTCATAGCAAAGCTGGGCTGATGAGCTTCCAGCAAGCTCTGGTTCTGGGTGAGGGTAGAGGTTCGAGCAGCTGTATTAAGTCCTAAGTTCCAGGCAGGCCCTGTGCACGTAGAATCACTCATCTTATCTTCATAGCACTGCTGGGTGGGTTGAGGGGAAACTGTTCTTCCGTTCTATAGGTGAGGAAACTGAGGCATTGAGAAGTGACTGACTCACCCAGTCTTGCATGTTGGAAGTTGAAGAGCTAGGATTTGTTCCACAAGTCCTTACTGAGCACCTGCTATGTGCCAAGCACTGTTCTAGGTGTTGGGGACTCATGGGACTGACAGTCTCAAGGGTGGCAGACAATAAATCAAGTGTAAGGTGTCCTAGAAAACAAGGGCCTGGTAAGAAAGCAGGGCAGAGGGCAGGTGTGTCAGGAAAGGGCTGCTGTTTAGAATCAAGTGTCCAGGAGAGGCTCCCTGGAAAGGTAGCATTTAAGTAAGGACGGCAAGGAAGAGAGCTGTAGTGGGAATAGTGTTCCAAGTGAAAGGAGCAGCAAGTGCAAAGCCCTGCAATGCCTTTGGGCATTGGGAGCAGCAGGGGGTGGAGGAACAGAGACAGGATGATCGTAGCAGATAACATCAGGAGGTCATGGGAGTAGATGGTGCAGGGGCCTTGGAAGGCATTGTGAAGACTTAGCTTTGACTATGAGTGAGGTGGGTACATTGGAGGCTCCTGAGCAGAGAATGGTCGAGATGTTCCAGGCTCCCCTTGGCTGGTCTGAAGGAAATACACTGTGTGAGGTAGGATAGAGCAGAGGGGTGGCTACTGCACTAGTCCAGGCAGTGTTAGCAGAGGTGGGGAGAAATGGCTATCTCCTGAACAGATGTTGAAGGAAGACTGGATAGGTCTTGCTGACATGGAGTGTGAGAGAATGCTAGAGATCAGGCTTGTCTGACCTCCAAATCCAGGTTCTAAAATGCTAGCTTGTATATCACCATTTCATAGGTGGAGAAACCAGGGCACAAAGCCAGTAGACAGCTATGCCAGAATTGAGCCTCCACCCCCAGGCCTCCCCTCTCAGCCATGGCTGAGTGTCTCACTTGCTTCAAGAAGAAGGGTCATTTGGGAATCCTAGAATCCTGGGACATCCTCCCCAACCCCCATTTTGCAGATGGAAAGACTGAGGCCCCGGAAAGTCTGCCTCTGGCCTCCCTCAGAACCACCAGAGGCAGCAGGGCTGAAAGTGCAGCAGCAGGTCTTGTGGCATTTGGATCCCTGGATATGAGGCCCCTGCATGAGCCCATGTTGCTCCCCCCCAGAAAGCCCCCGTGCCCCATAGCACCCTATGATGGCCACCCAGAGCCCTGTCCCTGAGTGGGGAAGTTTGGGGGGGATGCCTAGTATGGCAAGGGGACCGACTGGGTCTGTGGGTGGACTTTCCTGGGTAACCCCCAGGGTCTGCACTCATGCTTCCTGGCTGTTGGCTGGGCCCCTTAAGCTTTCCCAGGCCACAACCCCTTCTCTGTAATCTACCCCTGAGCCATCAACATGTGGCCTCTCCCCAAACCAGGCTGTGCATGTGGAGACATCCAAAACACCATCTGGGTGCTTCTGCACCTTTTTCTCCTGCACCCACTTGTCCCTGGTCAGCGACCTCAGCCCCCAAGAGGCAGCAGAAGGCCTGGTTCCGGCTTTGCCCCTGCCTCATTCTCCTCATCTGTATAGTGGGCGTTTTGATCCACTGACCTTCCTCTCATGGATGGTGTGGGCAGAGCGGAGATGGTGGAGGTTAACGCTCTCTGCAAAGACCTCATGTCTCCCACCCAGAACCCCTGATCTTCTCCCCACTTGCCAGGGAAGATGGTTTCTTGGTGACTGCCTCTCCTGATAACTCCCTGGGGCCTTTGGTCCTGGGGTTGGGGCCATTGGAGTACTGGGGTGAAGACCCATGGAAAGGTCTCTCACTACCCGAACAGCTTTAACTTTTCTCAAAACTAGTTCAGTTCATGATCTTGATGTGGTTCTCAGGCCCAGGAGAGAAGTAGCAGTTGTCCCGGGACAGGAGAGGTCTTGGGAATGAGGCATCGGGACTGGTCTGAAGTCACCTGGCAGAGCTGGGACTGGAACCCAGGGCCCTTCCCTGCCTTGGGCTTGTTCCTGTGCCTTCCAAGAGTGGCAAGTACTGACCCTCTTTGCTAGTTAGAGACTTGCGGTTCTTGGTGGCTCACAGAACTCAGCCCGGAGAAAGGCCTGTGTCCAGCCAGGCCATGCCCAGGGGCTCTGCCCAAAGTGCCCAGGGCAGAGATAGCAGTATCCATGGGCCCAGCTTCCCAGATGCTGGTGACGGGTGGCAATGTGCCCAGGGTAACAGGGTAACTAGTAGCACTGCCTTCTGCTAATGGTCAAGGAGGCCTCTGGGGAGGTGATGTTTGGGCTCACATTGAATAGTAACAAGCCAATCCTGGGAGGCTCTGGGGGAGGGGTACCAGGAGGAGGGAGCAGCCTGACAAAGGCTGGGGGCGCGGAGAGCTGGGCATCTGTGAGGAGTAGGGAAGAGGCCATTTTGGCTGGACCAGGGCCCTGAGCGGAGGATGGATGAGACCCACCTCGGCTTTCATGGGTCTATGCAGGGGTGCCCACGGAGATGGGAGCAGCGGCCAGATTCTAAGCATGTTTTGAATTATGCCCATGGACCTGCCACAGGATCAGCTTAGAGTCTGAGAGACAAGGCAAGGAGGACCTCAGGATCTTGGCCTGAGCCACAGGGGTTGGCCATTTTCTGGGGCTCTCCAGGTGGGTTTGGAGGAGGGGATGGGAGTTTGGGCCATGTGAGGTGCAGGCAGTTGGGACTGGGTGGCCTTTGTGGGCCCTTCAAGGCCAGGATGCCAGGCCACAGGCCAGGTACTCTGGGATTGCCCACTAAGGAAGGGTCTGGTTCCTCTCTAACTAGTGTGGTATGATCTGGTCAGTGGAGCACAGGGGAGGGTGTCATTAACACTTTCTTTCCCTCACATGTAGCCCACGCCCACCCTGCTGGCCCTGAAGCTCTTCTGTTTCCCTTTCAGCCAGAAGAGCCTCCTAAGTGACCTCAGCCTATCTCTAGCCTGCTCCACACACCAAAGCTGTGTGACTGCCTCTTGGGGCCTCAGTTTCCCTGTCTGTAAACAGGACTATGAGAAGTCTACCCATTTTGTAAGAGTCTCATGAGGATTAATATGTGGAGAGAGCTGAACATGGGCCTGCCCCGTGGCAGGGCCCCACAAGTATGAGCAGCAGTTGTTCCCATCTGCTGTCTCCTTAAAGGCGCACGGTCTCTGGAAAGGCTAAAGTGCTGGGCCTGCCAGTAGCCCACAAATCAGCCTCAAACCCCTATAGTGTGTCTGGCAGAGAGAGAACAGCAGTTGTTTGTAAGACAAATATTTCTTGGGTGTCTCCCTTTGGCTGGGTGCTGGGGATGCAGTGGTGACCGAGCCCTTGTGACCACCAGGAGCTGGCAGATGGGGAGGTGATGGGGCAGACACTTCCCAAGGCCACTTAGCATCTGGTCCATCCACGGCCCAAACAACTGCTCCAGGAATATTAATTGAGGGAACAGGTAGGCAAATGAACAGAGGAATTCTAACAGACTTGCAAGGGCTCAAGGTCCTACCACCTCCCTCTCTGCAGGGATGGCAGTGGCCCAAAAGCCGAGGTGTTTTCCGTGGCCTGCAAGGACCTATGTGATCTGGCCCCAGAACCCCCAACATGGCTTCCTACCACTCTTCCCCAACTCATTCCAGCACAGTTCTGCGAGCCCCCTCACTGCTTCTTGAACTTCTACCTCAGCGCCTTTGCACATGCTGTTCTCGCCACTTGGACTGTTCACCCCCCATATCTTTTCGATCCCTTACCCACTTCAGGTCTTGGCTCAAGAAAGGCCTCCCTCTTTAAAATGGCAACCCTACCCACTCACCGTTTCTCTGCTGTATTGTTCTCCAACTCATGACCTTTTGAATCCTATATTGTTTATAATGATATTGCTTATTATCTGTCTCCCTCCATGAGGGAGCATTTAGTCAGTTTTCTTCGCTGCTGCACACTTAGCATCTGAAGCACTGCCTGACACATAGTAGGCCCTTGATGAGTTTTGGGGGTAATTAAATGGCCAGGGCAGGCAGGCAGTTCCTTCAGTCGCTGGCGACCAGTATGGGCTTAGAATAGCCTCCTGATCTCTGCTGTCCTGTCCTGGGTGAGCTGAATTAACTCCAGCAGGGGTGGGAGACAAGAACTGAGTCCTGCGCTGTACAGTCCAGGCAGGCAGCAGTGGAGGTCAAAGCTGGGCCTCTGGCCCATTGGAGCAGCAATCAGGCCAAGAGGAGGAGGCCCTGGGGCCCTGGAGGCATGGGGAGGAGGTGGGGCTGGGGGCCACCCTCAGCTGGGCCTGAGAAGGAGAAAGGATATTTCAGGCAGAGGGAACTAGTGGGCAAAGGCCTGGAGGCAGGAGATAGAGAGAGGGTGTGTTGAGATGGAGGAGAAAGACAGGACTGAGCTCTGGGTCTGGAGGCCTGGGTTCTAACTTCACCTCAGACTTGCTGTGGGATGTGGATGTCTGGGTCTGTTTCCCCATCTGGAAATGGGGAGGTGAATGGTACCTTCACTCCTGGAGCTTTGGAGAACCAGAAAGGTTCCTAACTGGGGTTGGACCCTGTCCTGATGTCTGGACTCTTCGTTTGTATCCCTCAGTCTATCAGTCTTACGCTTGAGAAACTCCCCACAGGCCCAGAGCCCAGACCATTTAGGAACGAATACTCTATGGTACTTTAAAGCAAAAAACACATGAAATACAATTTGCTTTTAGAAGTCAGAAACACAATTGGCATTGACATGTTTTCTTTTAGGGACAGTGAACTGTGTATCTAACCTCAGTTTGCACTCTGTGTTCCGTGCCTGTCCTTCCATCAGCCGCCTCTTCCTTGATTACCTCAGCTCAGAGGTTTTTTCCTTGGAGGGGTCTTCCCTGGCTACCTCTGGCTAAATGGCCCAGTCTCTCCCCCAACCCAACTTATTTATTTCCTTTATACGCTCACTCACAACTATCTGAAATGACAAACCTGGGAACTGTCCTCCACTCCTCTGTCTCTTGCTCACCACATCCGAATCATCAGCTACACCTTCCAAACACCGTTAGAGTCTGGTCCCTCCACACACCCCTACTGCCTCCCTCAGTCTGTGTTCCCCTTTTCGCTCACCCGACTAGTGCAGCAGCCACCTCACTGGTTCCCCTGCTCCTGCCCCCAGTCTGTTTTCAGAGCAGCTAGAGTGAGTCCTGTGACATCATGATCACATCCTGTCCCTTCCCTGCCAAGGAACCTTCTGTGGCTCCAAGGTCATGATGGTTTAAGAGGCTCCGCAGGACACCCCCCTTTACTCCCCTCCTCCCCACCTCTCTACCCTCATCTCCACCCTGTCCTTTGCCCACTCTTGCCTGAGAGCCTTTGTATATGGTACTGGCTATTCCTCTGCCTAGGACACTGTTCCCTAGCGTCACATAATCAACTCCCTCTCCTTCCTGTTTTGTCTCCACCCAGCATAGCTCCCTGCTCCACCCCTGCCTGCTTTTTTCTTTGTTCTGTCTCCTAGTGAGTTCCATGAGGGCAGGACTCTGTCTGGCTTGTTCGTTGCTCTGTCCCTAGCACCTGAAATAGTGCCTGAGGCTCAATAAACATTTGCTGAATGGGATAGGTGGATAGATGTATGGACAGATGGGATGGCTGGGCAGGTAGATGGGCAGGCAGATGGATGGATGGATAGATAGATGGATGGATGGATGGATGGATGGATGGATGGATGGATGTGGTTGGATAGATGGACAGGCAGATGGGGAACTAAAGACTTCGGTTAGAAGAACTCCAGTCAAATGTTTTCTAGAGGGACTTTGGTGGACTGGTGAGCTCCTGCCTTGGCAGGCCTGAGAGGCCAGTTTGTTCCTGTGTATGTCCCCAATGTCACTTTCTTGTGGATAATGATGCCATACTTTCTGACCTTCCCTGGGCCCAGCGGGGAGTCCTGACAAATCTCACAGCCTGATCTTCTGTCCCTTCTGGCTCTGGTTTGGTTGGGGACTTGCCAAGCCCTACTCTGCATCCAGCGCTGAGTGTGGGACATCAGACCCTCAGGAGGGTGCTCAGATGGAGATGCAGAATGGGAGGTGCTGGGGGTCCTGGGATGCTGAGACTGAGAATACAGCAAAGGCTTACGGGGGGGGGCCTTGGGTGTTCTGGGCGCTGCTCTAAGCATTTCGCAGAGATTACCTCACTTAATCCTCCAAACACCCCTATGAGGAATGTTTTATTATATTCCCACTTTATGGATGAGGAAACTGAGGCACAGAGAGGTTATTCAGGATCCAACTTCAGCAGCCTGGCTCCAAATGCCTGTTCCTGCACCCTGGCCTCTGTGCCTGGGTCAGGCCCCTAGAGTCTCCACAGTCTCATGTGTTTGCCACCCTCCCCCTGCAGGATGTCATGACCGGGCCGTCCTGCTCTATGAGTACGTGGGAAAGCGGATCGTGGACCTGCAGCACACGGAGGTCCCTGACGCCTACCGCGGACGTGGCATCGCCAAGCACCTCGCCAAGGTAGGGAGGTGCGTCCACCCAGAGAAAACCAAGGCCCTGGTGACAGACCCTGGCCTGTTTCTTGGCCAAAGGGCAGATGGGTGCCCGCTTTGCCAAAAGGTTGCAGCTGGGACCGGGAAGTCGTCAGGCAGCATATGTGTCACCTACTCCTGGCTCCTCTCAGGCTAGTGGCAGTGGTTCTGGGCCTAGGCCTCAGGTTCTGCAGAGCTAAGCCTTCAGGGCCACCGACACCCGACACCCGCTGTGTCAGGAGCTCACTGGCTGGGATCCCAGCACCTGGCACATAATAGGTGTTCAGTAAATTCTTGTTGAACAAGTGAATGATGAATGTTCAAGTAAATCTGCTCGTGACCCATTCCACTGTCCTACTCCCTTCATCCCCAAAGCACCTCAAACCCCAGGATGCTTGGAGAGGAGGTTTGAACTTAATGAGGGGAATTGCAGCCTGGAGCAGAGGATGGCCTTAAGTTCCTCTGAGAGCTGTTCCTGGGGCCCAGGTGCTGCTCTCTGCCTCCCCCCAGTGCAGGCCTCTGCTCCTCCTCCACCTGCTGCCTGGTTTTTTAGTTGGTACTGCCTGGATAGGGGCAGGGGGCTTGTGCCTGCTGGAGGACTGAAGTCTGTGGGAGCCATCTGTGTGACCAGTGAGGAAACTCCAGGATTTACTGACCTGGGGAAAGGGGAGTTGGGCCCCGTCCTCACCCTGGGGAGCCCTGCCCGTGACTTCCTGAGTCTTCCCTGCCCAGGGCAGGAGGGCATTTACCATGTGGCCTTTGGTGCCTTCATGGGCTTTCAACTTGTTTATCTGCAAAATAGGAGAATAGACTGGACTCTTGTCACTAGATCTCAGGTTTTAAACCGTAGGATCAGGTGTGGACTGGACAGTGAGATGCACAAAGGCCAGCCCAGGGGTATTGGAAAGTCAAATGGGCCAACCATGTAAGTGCCCAGGAACTTAGTAGGCACTCAGTAAATGCTGCTTCCTTTTTCACTGGAAGAGGCAATCCCACCCAGGCTGTCCTCTACCCTGTTTCAGCAAAATTTATTAAACACCAACTGTGTGCAAGGCCCTGAGGGCAGGGAGGTACATCAGATGTGCCCTTGCAGTACCTGTCCTGAGCTCATTGGAGACAGTGACACCAGCCATAGACCAAGGCCACACACTGACCGCCCCCCCCCCATCACTTCCCTCACCATTGCCTTTGAGAACCCTGTAATAACTGTGGGAGCCCTGAGGTGCCCTGACCCAGCCTCCAGGGAAAGGTTCCAGGAGGAGACCTTAAGTGAGCTGTCACATGAAGGATAAGTAAAAAAGAGGAGTTTAGGCAGACACCCAGTGAACGCAGAGGCCCTGAAATTAGAAAGCAGGCCTTGGGGTAGGTGTGGGACAAACAAGACAGGAAACGGGGTGGGGCTTTCCAGGTTTAGCTCCTGCCCACGTCACCACTTGGCTCTTGGCTGCCCTGTGTGGAGGTTGCCTCCCGGGCAGTTTTGGGGAGGGGCTCAGGATCTAGTCCTTGCTCATTCTCTTCCATGACATATGTCTCGGACAATTTACCAACACTTTCTGCTTCAGTTTCCTCAACTGAAATATGGGGGTGGTGATAGCACCCGCAACCTCCATTGTAGACCCAGTGGACTAGGTGGCCATGGGTAGCCAGTTCTTGCCCTCAGACGGAATAGCCTGAGAGGTGTGGGGGCTGGGCCACCATGAGCCCAGGATGCGTGCTATGGGCACTGACCACTCTCTCTCTGCCCGGCTGTCAGGCTGCTCTGGACTTCGTGGTGGAGGAGGACCTGAAGGCCCATCTCACGTGCTGGTACATCCAGAAGTATATCAAGGAGAACCCGCTGCCACAGTACCTGGAGCGCCTGCAGCCGTGACCCCGGCTCGCGGGGCAGGAGTGCTCCTGCCAGATCCTTCCTCATGGCCTTCACCCTGGCCCTCTGAGTGCTCTCAGGAAACCTGGACCCCACGGGGACAGACTCAGAGTTATTTTTGTAAGGATGCTCATCTGTGGCCTGTGGAGGCAGCTGGCCGAGGATGGGCAGCAGTCCAGTGACTGTGACCAAGGAAAGGCCAGGCAGCCGCAGTCCGGCAGCCCCCCTCTGCAGACGCTGGCCAGCTTCCCAAAAGGCCGCATGTCCTGTTGTGGGCAGACCAGTGAGGGCCTCTCTCCAGGACCAGAACAGGAACAGGGGTGTCCCTGTGCCCAGTCTGGGTCCCACCTACTGTTCCCTGCTCTGTGATTGGCAGGGGGCTGTCTTGGAATCCTCCACCCGCCACCACTGCCTCTCCATCTGTGTCCTTTCCGCAGATGAGGAGGGTGTCCTGAGCTGAAAGGAGCAATAAGAAACTGTGTGCCAACTTACGAGGGACACAGCGCAAGCTGTGGTTGCCACTAACGCTGCCCCTTCTCTTCCTCTGACTTGTGTGCCCTGGCAGGGGTCAGCGAGGGGCAGCCCTCCCTGATGTGTGAGCCCAGGAATGGATAGACTGGGCACTGGTTCAGGCTCAACTGCACACAGGCATGCGCACACGGGATGCTGAGTGCCAAGCTATGCATTGGCTGAGAGGCTGATGGGGGTGGTGCATTGGCTGTTCTCTTCTTGGTACCAGTTCCCTTAACTCCTTGCCCCCTTGTCGGCCAGCTCTGCAGGAAACCAAGGTCCCTGTCCCCCATGGTTGCCCTGCCGTCACCTTTTGCCTGTCTGCCAGGGGCCAGCTCCAGGTGCGGTCAAGCATCTGGGATGGGAGGGAGGCAAATTGTCCTCAAAAACCATCCTCACCACCCAAGAGAAAGAAACATTTCTGTGGAGGGATTTCCTTTGTGGCCACCAGACATCAGAGCATCTTTCTCTTGGTGAACTTGTCTGACTGGGGTCACAGGGCCCCTCCCAGACCAACCCTTCCTGGTAATGGCTTGGGGGGCATACCCCAGCGCCCTTTGTTTAACACCCAGCTTTTCTGGGGTCTTTGGGGGCTCAGGGTCCTAACCTCCTGTGTTCCGCTCCCCACAGGTCAAAGAGGAACCCAGGAGTCAGGGTCCCTTTGGGGCAGAGACATAAGTTAACAGTGAATCCCTGAGAGTGATGTGTCCTGTCCGGTCCTCTGGCTGGGGATGGGGGCTCAAGGAGATGTGGGTGCTGGGGACACTTGTTATCATGGTGACTCCTCCCTTTATCCGACTTGCTGCAGCAGATGTTGGCTTCTGCTCACCTTTTCCACTCCTTCGTTCCTAGTCTCTACCGAGCCTCTCCCCCACTCCCTTGCCTCCCTCCACCGCAGCAGCTCAGGGCACTACCCCAGACGTTTGTGCACAGACACCTTCCTGCCCAGTGGCAGGAACATCTCGCTGTGCACATTCACACTCTGGCCTCCAGGAATCCCCAAGAGGACTGAGGGCACCCCCTAGCTCTGTTTGCAAAGGGCTGTTGTGAGGGACAGGGAAGCCTCTGGGCCCCCACATACTGGGAGTTGTGGGCCAGGAAGAAATCACTGGCAGGAGGTGGGCTCAGCTGCTGGGTTTACTCCAAGGCTGGGAGTGTCCCATTTCTGGCACAGTTTGAGAAAAGAGCGGGTTGTAGGCCCGAGAGTGGAAAAGCGAGCCAGCCCAGGGTCTGGGCCCTTTCCCTCCCTCCCTAGGCCCACCCCCTCCCCATTCACACATTCCTCCCCAAGTTTAAGCACAGACTCCTTCATGAAAACTCTCCAGTGGCTCAGTGAGCTGATGCTGTCTCCCCCTGCAGTCTGTGGGATAAGGTGACCCAATTCCAGGAGGGTGCCCTACACACAAGAGCCCAGGGAGCAGAGGCCAGGTGGCGCCAGGTGGGACCCATTCCCTTCCCCACTGTGTCCCAGCCTGAACCTGTGTTCTCACAGCAGGCGACACGCCACGCCTGGGCCAGCATGCACACAAAACACTTTTTACTTGAACCAGGAGTCATGCAGGGTCTGGGGAGTGCTGCTCAGCCCTGGACCCAGGGACAGCTTGTCCCTAGTTTCTGCAGGTGTGACTTGGCCTCCTTTCCTCGGCTGCCTTAAAGTGCCACTGCACCGCTACAGGGGATCTGCTGCTGTGGCAGCCTGGCCCTCAGGCTCCAGCACAGCCTTGAGGCAGCAGTGATCACCTACTCTGCTTGGCTGGGGACTCTGCAGACCCTGGCCTGGAGACCCCAGCCCCCCTCAGCTGACACGGCCAATTTTGCCATGGCTGGCCTGCCCCTGGTGCTGTCCCCATGTGTCTGGTGTCCCAGCCCCTCCTATGTGTGCCCGGATGCCCCAAGATCCCTTGCTGAGGAGACGGAGAGGCGGGCGGGTAGGGGGGACCTTCCAGCAGATTGTCCAAAGGCCCCAGCTCTCCTGTCACATCTTGCTTTGTGGGTTTCTCTTTCTTGCCCGGTCAAAATAGGTGGTAACTCATGTGCCTTTCCTACTCAGGACCTGTTCCAGGTGATGTCTGGGCCAAGGCTCCAGAACTCCCTTTGTTATTTCTCAAACTCCTGAACAGATTGCATGACATACATTTCAATAAAAGCTGTGGCCTAGCGCATGGCTCCAGGACTGCTTCTAGAAGAGGCACAGCGGGTGTTCTCTGGCCAGGTGCTGCTGTCCCCATGCCACCTTGTTCCATACCCATGGCAATCTGTTGCCCATACTTTTACTGATGAGGCTACTGGGTCACAGCAAGGTGTGGGAGCCCACGGGATGTGAGGAAGGAGAGGAGATGAATGGTGGGCACTCTCCATTCTTCCGTCCCTGCTTCTGTTATTGCTGGCACAGCCTGTTTTCAGGTAAGGAAAGATGTTCTGAGAGGCATGGGTTTGGCTGAGGTCTCATGGCATGACAGCAGTGAAGTTGCGGAACAGCTGGAAAGGGTTTACCTGGAAGAGGCTGTGATGTCATATCAGCTTCTCTTAGACGTGTTCCTCTCCCTGCTAAAAAGCCTTTTTTTGGGCCTTCTGGTCCAGGGGAGGGAAGCGGGGCACCCATGCAGGCTCATGGGGTAGGGGCACCAACGGCCTCGCAACACAGGATGGAGAGAACATCCTGCACTGGGCTCAGGGCCACATCTCATTCCCCTGGCTACCCTGGGGGGAGGGACTCCTTCCTGAATGGGATGTTTCCCTCCTAGTTCCCACCCTGGGGGTTACAACACTACCCCCAAACAAAAGAGGAAGAAGAGAGCACTGCAGTCCCAGGCCCTTCACATTCCTGTCCAGCTGGGTTCTCAGCTCCGTGAGATCAGTCATCAGGCCTATCTTACAGATGAAGAAACTGAGGCTCAGTGGGGTAGACACTCGGTTGCTGCCCATGTGGCTAGAAGGCAAGGGAACCAGGATCCATGCCCAGTTCCTACCATCTCTGTAAAACGATGTGCCCTTAACATGTCGTGAGGTCTTATGTCCACTTAGGTGACAGATGGCTTTGGAGAGCAATACACAGATAACTTTTGGCAATTTTCCTGCTCATTTGGAAGGCTGAGGTGAATTCGGTCTTGAGCCATGCAAGGTACATGGCTAGTCAGGGGTGCCTGGCAGACATGGAAAGATGACATTGCATGCAAAGCTGGGTCATGACAGGAATATCAGTGGGGTGTCCAACCATACACTCATGTTGTTCCTTCCTCAGTTCAGGGGTCTCAGGTCTACTTAAGTCCACCCAAATGCCCTCTCTAATATTCTCAGGGTCCCACTCCTTCCAAATCAATACCCTAAATTTCATATTGGAGGTCCAGCAAGACTGTGACTTCAACTTGTAACTCTGCAACTTGCAGGATCAAATTTGGGGTTATGTTTTCAGTTGTACCATTCTCACGGCTAGAGGATATTAAAGAGGTTCTTTTCTGGCTGTGAAAGGTGCTCTCTAGTTTTATACCTGCACGTTGAGCTGAGCCTACAGTTTTCTGTCTACTGATTCCAGTGAGGTCCCGGCAGCCAGCCCACACCGGAGCCTTGTAGCAATGTTGTCCCCGCCATCGTGACCTGGGCAGCAGCCAATCGGTTTCCTGGCTTTGCCTTCACGAAGCACCTCTCCCCAGGCTCTTAAAATAAGTCAGATGTTAAAGTAATCATTTTTGCCACTAGTGCTGTGAACTTCCAGGGTCTCATTTCCCCTGGGTGATGAGGTCATTACTGTGACCCAGTCGGGTCAGATAACCGACCCCAGGTTTCCATGTTTGAGAGATGGTTCCTTGGATGCCATTCCTACTACCAAGAACTGTCGGTGTGGAGTCAGGAAAACAAACTGCCCCAGGTGTTTCGAACAGGATGTAGTGCATGGGACTGGTTCCAAAAACTGTTGGAAGAAAGAGGAGCAAAAATGAGAAGGTGAGAGGACCCAAATATTAGTAAGTTCAGGAAGCTGCTATCACACTGAGCTGGAGGAACAGAAGTGTTACCCAAAGCCATGATTGCTGGGCTGCTGCTGGGACCTCACTGCCTGAACAAAACTGAGGACTGTGTGTACACTGGTCTTTGCTGCCCCACCACTAAAATCCCCGAATTCAGAAATGCTACTTCTAGTGCCCTGCCATTGTCTCCCATCAGCAGAAATTAACAGCCCACAGGTAAGGGCTCTGGGAAATGTGGCTTGCAAGCATCTAACCCCTCTGTGATCTGGGGCAGGAAGGGACCTGGACACCAGCAGACAAATAGTTGGGATAAAATAAGGACTATTCTTGTCTCCTAGGAGCAGGGCACCTGCCGTTATTCCAATCCATTTACACTAAATGTTGAAACAGCATGATAGAGACAACAGACCCCCAATGCCCAGGTACTGCAGAACAGCTGTGAGGTGGCAGCTCATGTTCCAAGGCATGCTGTCTTCACCAACGCTAGTGCCGTGGGGACTGGCGTGTCATGAGCTTGTACTTGGGTTGGGGGGATGCTTCCAGGCCATCAGTCAGGTTGTCAATGGGCTATCTGGCTGGGTGAGATTTGGCAGTCTTCTGAATTAGAGAGAAGGTGGAGCATGGGAAGTCAGAGGAGGACCCCCATGAGAGGCTTCTTTCTGAAGGCTGTTCTAATCTGGGAGAAGACTCGATGATGAAGTCACACATTAGATGTGGAAAGATGCTGAGATGGGATAGGAATGAGCTGCTCTATGGTCATTCTGGAATCTAGAGAAAATGGAGTTGGGGAATAATCTGCAATCTAAGACAAAAAGGTCAACTAAGTGCATGAACTAGGTCGTAAAACCGGGTCATCTTGTTTAGATTTCCCAACACACCTGCAAGGGGTGAACCCTCCTCTTTTTACAGGTGGGAACACTGCGGTTCAGAAAGCCAATCCTATTCCCACATTGAACACCCATATGTGTTCAGTGAAGATACAAGGGTGACCAAGGAAGATGGGGCTCCATCTTTAGGGGACCCACAGTGCAGGGTGGGGGTGTGAAAGCACACATGCAGTAAGAAAACTCTGTGACAAGGCTTCTATCGTACACAGGGAAGGGCCCTGGAAGGCTCTCTTGAAAAAGGGATATCTAGGTTGAAAACTAAAAGATGGGTGTGCTTTGTGAAGGGTCCAGTCCACAGTAGGCCCCACACAACCTGGGTCTTATGACCCCTGACCTTATCTCCCACCACTCCCCAACCACCTGCACCCCCCTCTATCCCCGCCATTCCTCACACCTGTGAAGCCACTCCCACCCCAGGGCCTTTGCACTTTCTATTCCCTCTGCACAGAATGCTCTAACCTTAGACATCCTCAGGCCTGGCTCCCTCACTTCCTTCAGGTCCATGCCCAACTGTCACCATCTCAGTCAGGCCTCTTTTTTCAGATCACACCCTCCTGATTCTCCTTACCCTTCTCTATTTTTTCCAATGGTTTTCTTCTTACATTATATATAACTGGTTAATTTTATCTTGTTTATTATTTGTTGTCTGAATCTCCCTGCTAGAATACAAGCCCCACAAAGACAGGAGTTTGCTTGTTTTCCATTTTGTCCATTTCAATACCAGTGCCTAGCACATATTTAATGCTCAATAATATTTGTTGGCTGGTTGGACAGATAGATGGATGAATAGATGGAATGGGAAAAAAGGGCTCTGGGTAGACTAAACGCATGAGCAAAGGCCTAGCAGTGCGATAGCTTAGGGCATCTCTGGAAGTTGCTCACGGCTGGAAGTGGCTGCGTGCTGCATCAGGAAACGAGCCTGGAGAGCTGGGTGGGGCAAGATGAAGGGGAGCCTTGAGGTGTGCCAGAGGCTGCTACAACTCAGCCTGTTTCCACTGGTGGACACGTAGCTGCACTGACCAGCCTCCCTTGGAGCAGGCGAGCTCCTGGGCCTGAGTTCTAGCTGGACGGAACGTGTGTGGAGATGGGAAAGGCTCCTCCCAGACTCTGTCTTCTCCTTCCCACTGCTGGGTGCAACAGTGACCAGGCTTTAGCAATGGTGAGTCTACCGGTTATAAAGAACACAGGTCTCCGAGTTGCTGCCTGGAGGAAAACCATCTGCCAATAACAAACTCTCACTTTAGCTTGTTACGTGAGCGAGAAATACGTGTCTACAGTGTTTTAAGCAATCTACATTTTGGGGTCTGTTTGTTATACCAGATACCTTGAAGTGTAGTGCTCCCATAACTTAAAACCTGACATATGTAGCATTGGCTTAGTGGTCAGGCTGCAGGGAACATGGACATAGATATTGTAGACTCACATTATACAGGAGAAAACTATTAAAATCATAACGTGCAAAACTTGGAGAGCAGACAAGAGACCTATAAGCCTGTGGCTCCAGGGGAAAGTGGTTGGAACGAGCTGGGTATCAATGTGTGTTGGTAGTTTCTTCCGTGTACAGCAAGGTATAAGAAAGAGATATATGCAAGCAAGATACAGTTTGCAAACAAATGAAAGTGTTTGAGGCCTTGTAGTGTTGGAAAAGGTAAGTGCTACTAGACCCCAAATAACAGGAAATAAAACTGAAAAAGGCTCTAAGCAACAAATGCCCTTTAAATAGTTCTCAGTTCCACAGAGAAAGGCTTCAGCCCCACGACGAAGGTCAGATGAAGCCTGTTGGCATGGTCCACTAGCTAATTGAGACCTCTGGTGGTGAGCATCAGTAAATTGAAACAGAGACAGATGAGGGTACGAGGAAGCAAAGAAATAAAGCTGCTTGAAAGCCATTTTAGAAAAAAAAAATCTCAGGTACAGTTACGTGGAACATACTGGAAGGAAAGCTCTCTAAATTTGGGGGGAAATTGTCTATGTTGCCAAAGAAACCATGAGCTTGTGGCTTGGCTCCTGAAGCCATGCCTATGCAGGCAGGAAAGAGCTGCAAAACATGTGCAGACCCCTCCTCAGCTTTGGCCATGGAGAAAAATGGATGAAGGGTGTCCTCCCAGAGAGCAAAGGTGGGCCAAGCCAGGGCAGGGGTCCTCACAATGCCACTCCTTGGGATCCTGTTATTGCTGACCTGGCAGTATTGTGTGCTATGTCCTGCTCTCCCTTTTCTGTTGAGAGCTTTACCTGAGTTCATCCAGCCCTGTTCACCCATTTCATTCAAGTTTAGAATGTGCAGTGCTTGGATTTTACCTCTTGATCCATG